GAAGATCACTTCTAACGGATGAGAGCCTTAACGCTTGCATGAAGCTTAACCTCACCAACTACCGACCAGACTATAAAACTCTCAGCGAATCCATGCAACGTCAGAAGTCACATTAACAATGAGTATTATAAGAACATTATTCAAAAAAAAATAAATTCAGAGGCTTATTATACTCGCATTTAATAGAATTTCATTTTAAAATATACTATATGGTTCTTTCTGAAATATTTTTCCAAATATTTGCTTTCTTGGCTTTCTAAGTTAAAAAGGTTGCCGACCCCTGGTATAGACAAAGCGTCTACTCCCATCAGCAGACTCGTTGGGCAACGACCACCTACTAGATATTTCAGCTTATGCATGCATATAATTTTCAAAACTTTGAGCAACCCTTGCGTTTTTGTCTGTAGTCCGGTCTCATCGCAGCAATTATGCCTGAAAAGTGCCTTACTTGATATGCCCTGTTAATATTGTTTGACTTTCTTTGATTCAGTGCTAGTTTATTCACCGGAATAAACACAGCCGAGGTCAAAAGTTAAGTTAGAAAACGGTCGGAATAACTCGGGTTAATAGTGCTATACACCATAATGTATAGTAAGATAAAGAGAGCACGATAGAGTTAACAAGACGGTCTAGAAACCAAAAGAGAATAGTGGTTAGACGTACAGTCTGATGAATGACACCAAAGTGTAACTGTGAGTTTATAAGCAGTGAACACACAGAACGAAGGCAGTCCACCGGGCAGGAACGAGGCATACGTGCTTCGGATGAGTCTGGTTACTAACACACAGTTACTAGCAAATTAAACAAGAATATACCACTGACGTGCTGAATGTATCAGGCCCTTCTGCTGGCATCTTAATCAGTTCCACAAATTTTACTATCCAAACGTCCACACTTGTGCTGCCTTTTCTGTTCATAGGAGGCCTTGGCCCGCGCCTTCGAACACGAGCTGCCGCTGATGGGTACCCCGGAGTCCTATTTCCAGGAAATTACATCCCGCGTTCAACAGAAGTGTAATGTACTGGCCGCTGCTCTCAATCGAGTCGGTATGACCCCTGTACTGCCTCAGGGCGGCTACTTCCTAATGGCGAATATCGAGGCCATACGTAAGTGCCCTTTGCTGGATCTACTAGTAGTGCCTTGAGACTTCTCATCCTTCCCATGCCCTCCTCTCCC